AGAGTGTAGCAATTTTACTAAATTAATCTTATTATTATTTTCTTCGATGGAAACAGTGTAGCACAACATCAAGACTCTAAAATATTATTAGAGGTATAAATAGAAAAAAGTAGTTAATATTACATTGAAAAGGTAAAATGACATTTACTTTGGGACTTTTTTTTTTCTTTTTAACCATGACACTTATTATTAGACAGAGAATGTTATTACTAAGCATCTAACGAATTTGTGATATTCTTTAAAGAAACTATATTTAAGAGGAATGCTAATGATATATTTTCACTCATTTATAATGAGTTTGTTGCAAGCATTTTGTACTTGATTCTGGTCACTTATTCTGTCTGTTACTTCAAATGAATGTGGCAGGTTGAAAACCAAGAAGGGGTTGCAAATTTTGATGAAATTCTTGCAAATTCAGATGCATTTATGGTGGCACGTGGTGACCTTGGAATGGAAATTCCAATAGAGAAGATATTTCTCGCACAGAAAGTGATGATTTATAAGTGCAATATCCAAGGAAAACCTGTTGTTACTGCAACCCAGATGTTGGAGTCAATGATCAAATCTCCCAGGCCAACAAGGGCTGAAGCTACTGATGTTGCCAATGCAGTTCTGGATGGTACAGACTGTGTGATGCTTAGTGGTGAAACAGCTGCTGGAGCTTATCCAGAACTTGCTGTTCGAACAATGGCTAAAATATGTGTTGAAGCTGAGAGCACCCTTGACTATGGAGATGTGTTTAAAAGGATTATGGAGCACTCACCAGTTCCAATGAGCCCATTGGAGAGTCTAGCTTCTTCTGCTGTAAGAACTGCCAACTCTGCTAAAGCGGCTCTTATATTGGTTTTAACTAGAGGAGGGAGTACTGCAAAATTGGTGGCTAAGTACAGGCCAGGCATGCCAATTCTTTCTGTAGTTGTTCCTGAGCTCAAGACTGATACCTTTGACTGGTCATGCAGTGATGAGGCTCCTGCGAGACACAGCCTGATATTCCGTGGGTTGGTTCCAATATTGAGTGCAGCTTCTGCTAGAGCTTCTCATGAAGAAACAACGGAAGAAGCAATAGAATTTGCCACGCAACATGCCAAGGCAAAGGGTCTCTGCCATAATGGGGATTCTATCGTCGCACTGCATCGTGTGGGCACTGCATCTGTCATCAAGATCTTGACTGTGAAATGATCATCCATTAAAAGGGGGTTCTTCTGCTGCTTTTGGCAATTTTTTTGGATGGTGCAATAGAGGTCTCATCATACGATTTAAAAGCTACATTGGATGCAAACTTCAATTGGAAGCATTTATTTGGCATGAGTACCCTGTTTTACACTTAACATATGTTACTGTTTCTTTTTTACATTTGCCTTGTCATTGTGGCGAGTGGCCACCTGTTTTCATTTTTAAGATTTTGTATGAGGCTTTTGGTAAACCGAAAAACTAGCCGACATCTGGATTTTAATTATTTACGGTCGAAAGTTGTTTTAATCTATTAGTGTATGGTTTTTCTTAGTATTATTGGCAAATCTAGGTTATTCCCTTTTTTTTTTTTCAACACTGAGTTGATAAAACTAACCCATTCCAATTACGATGGGTTGGCAAATAAGCTTGTTTATAATATAAAATTTTAAAAAAAAGTTAAAAAGATATATAGTCAATTTCTTTTTTCATAATTCTAGAATTTAAATTGTGGAAGTCGATATGATATACACTTTCTGGAAATGAAATTCGGAACTATAATTTGAAAAACTATCAATGAATTTTCGGTAGACAATTTAGAAGTTCAAAAGTCAATGGCGGCTGTGAAGCTCATGACGTTGTGAAGGGATGATAGAGACACTCTTCTGGTGCCTGCAGCTGCACGGGAAGCAGCCTCCCTAGAAGGGAAGCAGCCACCAAAATTGTTCCAATTTATTCCTTCCAGACTCTCCATTGTAATTCCTCTTTCTCTCTCTATGAATATGAAATAACTTGTTTGAATTCTTTTGAATAAATGCGGCGTCAATATTTGGTGGGAATACTTCTCTGCTTTTCAATTTGCATTCAAATGATCTTTCAAGTTAATCTTTTTTTGTCATTAGCATATTAGCATTATTGATGAATGTGAAAAGAGTACGTCAGCATAAATGAGGGATGTGAAAAGGGATCGGGTCTCCTCAATTCACAAGTAACCCGAGATTATTCCCACCGCCTCTAGAATTAACGATCCAGATTTGTTTTTAGCAAAATTCACCGTTTCACTCAAATTCTCAACTCATAGGTTTACATGCCAAGGATTGCTACAGTAACTTGCGCATCACCTTTTTCCGCCAATTCTTTGGCTTGTGAGTTAGATAACCCATGACATATATTTGGAACGAGGTATTTCTCCTTTTCACCCAGTCTTTCCAGTTAAAGTGGCAAATCTCTAAAATATAGGTGGTGAAGCAGGACAGGTGTTTACACAAAAGAGAAGCTCATAACCATTAGATAAAGTCTTGTACTTGTGCATTTTGATGGAGATCACTAATTTTACTAATTATTAATATAATACTATATCTCTTTTCAATAGAATACTAACTACGACTTCAGAAAATCTTGATTGGAAGCCGAATGTTGGTTTATTGTAGCTTCACGTTAAATCACGTTTCAAACGTGAAATCAAATACAGGCTTAGAGTTTGGAGATCTAGAAGAAACATAGGAATTTTGGAAGGAATATGACCAAAAAGTTGGTTTTGGAGCTAGGAGATAATTCAAAAACAAGTGAAAGAAAGATAATGTTATAACCTCTTTTATATATGTTTGTTGTAAAAAGGGGTTTAAAAAGCAAGATAAAAATAGATGTAACGGTTATCAAGCATATAATTCAGACTAGAATTAATTGTCATGTTAGATTTGAGTTGTCAGTGAAAAAAATGGTAAATATGTAATATGAGTTTTTAGAAGAGCATAATTCATCGATTATAATTTGTAAAAATAATACAAGTGCTTGCTTTGTACCGTAAATTTATGAAATAATTTTAGTTAAGGACTCGAGATTAGGTCAAAAGGTGTCATTTAAGCTTGAGTTCACATGCGGGGCACCAAGTTAATGTTGGATATATGATAAGTGCTCAAATTGCATATTTTTATGCTTAATTAATGCTTTAGTAATGAGTGTCATTGATGCAGAGTGTCATTAATGCATGTGCGTCAAGAATCCAATACCTTTAGTGATGAGTGTCATTGATTGAACCCTATCTCCACCTTCTATTTAAATGAAACCATTCTTGGTTTCAAATGCAGAGTGCAATTGAGCCAAGTATTCTTGTTTTCAAATCCAGATATACAAACTCTTTGTCTACTATAATGTCTTCCTCTTCTTTTTGTGTGTTGCTCTTCTTCAATGGTAAAATCACTCAAACAAACGAAGGGGATACTTTTGTATCCTCTGACCCAATATTTTTCTCATTTAATCCATGTATCACACTTGATGCATTGAAAGCCAAGATCCAAAGAAGACTCAACTTACCACAACCACATTCATTTGATCAACTTTACTTTCGATATCCATAAGTGGTAGGCTGAGGAATGCTTAATTTTATATCTTTCAAGCTTACCGACGATGAAGACATTCATGGTATGATTCAAATGGTTTGTAGCCATAAACTTCTTACTTCTGCTCAACTATATCGAATCTCACACCAATAAATAATAATCCTTCACCTTCCTATGAAAACCAACCTTATTCCTATGAAAACCAACTTTTTTCTTATCAAAACCAATCTTTGTTAGACGAATTTCACCCACACACAAGTCCATTCACCCACCTAGATTCTAATCATTTTCAAAGAACCTATGACTCACCATACCTAAACGAAAATACTTTACCACATGGATCCTTTACCAACCTCCTTACATTTGGAGTCCCACAAGAAGAAGAAGAAGAAGGAGTTCCTGAAGAAGAAGTCAGTCCTTTCAGTGAGGGCTAAGACGATGCAAGACTTCAACAAGATGATGCAAGACTCCAATAAGACAAACAAGATATTGTTCCACAACAACCTCAACATGTAGGCACATCTTCAACCACATTCAGTTTCACATGCATAATATTGATTTACAAACAGATTTCAGCAACCCAAATTATAGACATGCACTTGACCATGTTGACGTTAAGTACGCTCTTAACACCTTGTTTCAAGGCATGGCTTTCAACACAAAGGAGGAAGTTCAACATGTTTTAAACACGCACCATATAAAGAAAGGTATGTATTATAGGGTTGAGAAATCGTCACCAACATTAATTGTTGCACAATGTGTTAATGTTGGATGCGATTGGAGATGCAAAGCGACTTTCATTAATAGAAGCCAAAAATGGGAGGTTCGTAAGCTATCAGGTGAACATTTTTGTTCATCCCCTGTTATCACACAAGACCATGTCAACCTTGGCTATGTATATATTAACAAAAGTATTCTTGTATTGGTGGAGAGTAATCCATCAATTTCAATTCCAACAATAATAACACATATCAAAAGTGTTGAAGGGTACACAATCTCATGCCGCAAAGCATGGATGGCAAAACAAAAGGTAATTGACGACTTACAAGGTAATTGGGAACAATTTTACCATGATTTACCCAAGTTGTTCAATGTCATGACAATATTTCTTAATGGATTTATTGTTGAGAAGAAAACAATGCCACTATACAATCAACAAGGTGAGATGGTTCATGATTATGTTCAATTCCATAGAGTATTTTGGACATTTAAACCTCGTACCAATGGGTTCAAATATTGCAAGCCCATTGTTCAAGTTGATGACACATTCTTGTATGGAAAATACAAAGGAACTCTCCTCGTGGCCGTGGCTCAAGACGGTAACAACAAAATCTTTCCAATTGTCTTTGCCATTGTTGAGGGTGAAACAATAGATGCATGATTTTTCTTTCTACATTACCTAAAAATACATGTTTGCCCTCAAGATGACCTTTGCTTAATTTTCGACAAGAACGAGTCCATAAAAAATGTTTACGCTAGATAAGGTAGTGGTTGGACATCAAAGAATTCAGTGCATGTGTTTTGTATTCGCCATATTATCCAAAACTTCATGAGACATTTCAAGAATGTAGAAAGAAAAAAAGTACTCATCAATATGGGTATGTAGTATTTTTTATTTCAAACTTATCACTAATTATTTTTATTTGTTTGACCATGTTTTAACAATACTAAATTGTTCATTTTTTGCTCATCTAATTTCACAGCATATGGGATGCACTAAAATAGATATGGTTGAATCAGGACAACTAAAAAGATGCTCTCTATGCAAGAATGTAGGTCACTCCAAGAAAAAAAATGTTCTTATCGTCAAGGAAATTCAAGTTAACAAGCTTAAATCGATAATTTTTCATGGCCTACATCTAAATTTTGGTTGATTTTAGTGTGTCTTCGAAAATATCATGTTCTATAATTTTAATTTGTCTTTTCATTTCAACAATTTTGTACTTTTTTTCTACTATTTCTAATATTTAATAAAATAATATTATCATTTATTTAATAATAAATTTAATTATCTATAATTATTAATACAAAGTTAATATATTAAATAAATTATACATATTTACAAATATAACAAATTAATTATTAAATTACATTATT